TAGAATAGCCTGAAACGAGGAATGTACTACGCGACGAATAAAATTATAACAAACAATGTATTTATGTGTAAAAGGGGCACACACACACACACACACATGCGCGCGCGCGGGGGGGATGAGGGTGCAAGGGGGGGCCTTTGGCCCCCCTATCGCACCCACCTCCACCGGTAGGCAGTGTGAACCTCGCTTTACAACTTAAAGTACATGCTAAGGCTGCCGTCCAATTTACGCTCACAGCATTGTAAATAAGAGCGAGCGATGCTTTCAGCGCTATGAGCGTGAATCGGACCGCAGCCTTAGCATGTACTTTCAGTTGTAAAGCGAGGTCCACGCTGCCTACCGGCGGAAATGGGTGCGGGAGGGAGAGCCAAAGGCCCCCCCTTGCACCCTTCCGCGCGCGCGCGCGCGCGTGTGTGTGTGTGTGTGTGTATTCCGGCATGTTGAAAAAAATAGGTATAAATGATTATCACTGTCGGAGTCACAACAAAAGTTTTTTACCAAGAGAACCGCAAGAAAATATCAAAATTCGGAAAAGGCCCTATTGTAAAGAATTACCGTTTATTCTACCGATTACAAACAATTATTTTATTGGAAAACATTTTTATCTTAATGTACGTTGCAAGAATTTTTATGACAAATTTTCTCGGTTGTGATGTCACCAATCCAAGCTGTAATGAGTGGATAAGAGCCTTAATGGCATTTCAACGTTATATAAGCTATTTATAATTTGCTTACAGTGCCAATAAATGATAGGATATTAAGCATTTAAAAGCCATTTATATTACATTTAAATTACTTAAATAAAAGGATTCGGGATTCAGCAAAATCCTATAACAGGTTTAACCCATTAAGTCCTAGAAGGTTTTTACACGCTTTTCTATTTCAAATTCTTATAACTCGAGTTCTAATCAAAATTTTTAGACCGCAATTGATATTTAGAGGTAAAAAAGAGTTGCTCTTTTCGAAAATCTAGTTAGAATATCTGAAGAAAAACATATAATGGTTGAAAGAGTAGAGGTAAAAAAAGTAAGTTACTCCTATCTACTGACCTATATATATATACTGACAAATATTCAACTAAAATAAATAATAAATGATTTTGTCTACTTTTTTGAGCGGAATTTTTGTTATAGATCATTCAACTAATAATTATATAAATTTATTTTACTTAAAAAGGTAGACGAAATCATTTATTAGTTGAATATTTGTCATTAAAACCGTAGAGGTTACTTATTTTTTTACCTTTACTTTCAACCTTTACATCTTTTATCAGATATCCCACCCTATCACCGATTAGATTTTCGGAAAGAGTAAATTTTTTGCCCCTGAATATTAATTGTGCTCTAAAATTTTGATTAGGACTTACGTTACAAAGAATTAAAACAGAAAAGCGCGCAGGGGCCTCCTGGACTCTTAAACAAGTTAATTTAGTAGGTACTACGTTCCCGAAATTCTCAACGCCTAAATATTCTTATTATATATTTTCAACATCCTTCGATATGATGCCGATACATTTATCTACGTAATATCTGATATTATTTGCATTATCATTGTCATATTAAGTGGGTATAAAAGCGACGTTATCCAACATCGTTAATCGTGCCCTGGGTTGTCAAACTTGTGCTTGATCTTCATTATCTCGATCGAGACGCGCGTCACGAGCCACTTGATCCCGTCACGTTCGGACAACACTGGCTGCTTAGATCGCTCCCACTCAAGTTGTCATTTGACATTTCCACTAGGATACGCTTAAGCTGCATGGACAAGTTGATTGTAACAGAAGCACAGAGTCCGCTCATTTTTATATCCGATGTTTACTCGATTTAGTTAAGCCCTAGCTCGCCACCCTCGCCACATTCTAATCCAGTGGACCGCTAAACGTTTTCCTAATTTTCACATAATAACATAATTTTCTAGTTTCTTTATAATAAATTCAGTTTAAACTCAAATCATTTTCTTGACCTTATATTATTATAAACATCTTATTTATTTCTGTATTTCTAATTTTACATTACAAGTTTAAGAATATTAATTAGAATGAAAATGATAAAACAACAAAATCGAGTGATCTCACGGATCGTAACGTGGCAAATTAAGGTGGTTTGGTTAGTACCGTATAAGGCCTACATTTTTATTTAAGAAAAACCATTTTCATGGATATATTCTAAACACTTATATAATTACTGGTTTTATAATGTAACTTTTCATTCAATTTATCTACTGATAAATGTAAACAGTTCAAGATTTGACTTCAGTTAACATTCGTACAAGAGAAATGTTGCGACATTGCATCTCTTCGCTATTAGGCTAGTCATATTAGACATCGAACCTTCCAATTAATCTTCCCAGGTTGCAACCACCATTAATCGCTTTGATTTGAGGTGCTATAAGTGGGATTTATTTTGCTTCGCAAAATTAACGCGCAATAAAAAGTTATTAACAATATTATCAACAAAAAACGCGATTTTTTTTATTTTTTCTCAAATATCTCGAAAACTAAGCAAGATAAGGTAACTAACTATACGTACCTTTTTTGTAACGCGTAAAATTATCTACAATAATGATCTAAACAACATTTATCGTCAAGTCAGTCGTTTAGCTTGCACGCGCCGTCAAAGTCCGAGACTCGGATACCGAAAACCCTCGATTTCATCGTTTTTTTGATGTTGCGCCAGTGATTTTTTTCCGTCATTTAAAATAGAATTAAAAATCCCCAAAAAATCACACATTATCTGAAAACTACAAAAAATACTTTTCATGGTGTAACAGATTTTTTAGACCCTTTTTCTTTAGTTTGTATTAGGTATGTAAGCAAAAAATTTTGATTTTTTGGAATAGTCTTAGTTTTTCGCTGTTTTTAGGCCTTAGAATTTATTTGAGATGAATTTTATTGTATGCATCTTGTTGTGGACAAAATTTGCAACAAAAAAGGACCCTTGTATTTTTTTCGTACGACAAACGCTGATTTTTTTTATTGACGCGCAAAGTTATCCAATATTGCGCACAGGTCGGATAACGTTTGTTTTACACTAAAATAATTATTTTTTATTAAAATTCATGTAATTTTTTGCATTATTATTGAACCATATTGCAAAAAACGGCTTGGTACCCAAGTCGTCTACAGACGATTCCGAATCTCGACATCGAACTCGCGAAACTCATGTTCGACCGTTAGACGCCGGCGGCGTGCCGTCGTAAGCGGTGACGGCAAACCGGGCTCGTGCGACGACCGGCCCGCGAGGACCGGCCGCCTAGTAGTGTGTCACATTGTTTTGAGTCTTCCGACTCACGAGACTCCTAGAGATATCATTGCCACCTTTGACTAGAGAGGATACGGCCTTAGAGGCGTTCAGGCATAATCCCACGGATGATAGCTTCGCACCACCAGCCGCTCGACCGAGTGCGTGAACCAAATGTCCGAACCTGTGGTTCCTCTCGTACTGAGCAAGATTACTATCATTTTAAGTCTTTAGTATTCTCTGACAATTGTTTATATAGGTTTTTATAAATTATTTGTAATTTTTCTTTTACTTTATAATGTTGGATAATAAGGCTGCGTTCGAAAATTTCACTCGGATGCACACCAGCATCATTCTGTCCTTGTTCAACTTTTAGTAAATAACAAAGATAGAATGACGCGGTGTGCACTCAAGTAAAGTTTTCGAACGCAGGGTATGTATATACCTGACAACGATTCCCGAGTCGTTGACGCTCTCATACTTCGGCATATATTTGTTAATATTCTAAACACTAATAATTTACGAAAAATATAGCACATAACTAGCATCCACAATTCATTATACTAATATTGCATATAATTCGAAATCGCTGTAATGACATTATTATTCAATCGCATTTTTGACTTTAAAGTATAGTAGGCGAACCTCCTTAAATCGCGCGCACTTTGTTACTTATAAATAATATTATAGAAGAAGGACGCTAAATTGTGCCGGGTTTCTTTCGCCGGAACAACAAATATTGCGATCTTTTTGTTAAAAAAATACACTGTCTACCAGCTTCAACTTTGCATCTATAATTATATATTATATAGTTAGTTTATATTACTCTTTTCTTTATAGACATTTTTTGAATCATCAAGCCTTTCTCTGTAGTTTCAAATTAAAATATTCCGAGCGATTTTAAAAGTTTTTTCTTTTAGTTTGAGTTACTTTTGGTTGATGAAACCGACTCTATTTTCCTTTTTCTTTTTTCTTTTCCTCAACTTGGTTTGCTGAGTGTAAATCTAGCGTATCAAATATTGGCATCCCTTAGAACGATGAAGAACTCAAACGGCATGAAGAACCCCACAGATACCGTAGATCCGAACGAAAACACCACACCGAGGCCGAAGTTGGAGACCTTCGACGATGTCTTGCCGTACGTCGGTGATTTTGGCAGATATCAGTGGCTGCTTCTATTGGCCTTGCTTCCCTACAGCGTGGCTTACGCCACTCTATACTTCTCGCAGTTCTTTCTCACCCTGGTGCCGCAGGAGCATTGGTGCAAGATAGAGGAACTGATCCCTTTAAACCTTACGCGGGAAGAAAGGTAAAATTTCCGCAACAATGTTACTCATTAAGATCCTATAAATCAAAATAATATATTTTATCATGCTCTAAATAACATATATCTATATATTTAAATTTATATTACATAACTTAATTATTATTATTATATTAAACATTATAAATCCTGTAATTTATCAAAATAATTTTGGATTGTAAAACAGTCGAGTTGTTGTAAAAGTCGATTAATTGTTTAAATCGTTTCCTTTTTCTCTTGACGTATTATTATCTTTTTGTTATCTTCTGTCTTTGAAGAGATATATTTCGTATATTTGGAGGTCAATGTTTTCAGAGTGAAGATCGGCGTACCAAAATCGCAGAATTATCCGTACTATGACCAATGCCATCGGAGGGATTTGGATTTTTCCGTTATTCTAAGTTACGGGAAGGACATTCGTTCGGTCGAATTGAAGGCAAACAAATCCGTGGACTGCAGCCACTGGGAATACAATTTCACGCAGATCCCGTACGCCAGTATAGCAGCTGAGGTGAAGTATCCTTGAATGCATCGCTGTGCGTATAAAATATACAAAAGACACAGAGAAAGAGAGTCAAAATTCACGAGTACTCTTGTCTAAACGGTCGAGCGATTAACTGAGATTACGCGCGATTTCTTCCTCGTAATTTAATTCAATCGTAATCCGCAGACCGATAATATGCGAATAAACGACGAGAGATGAAAAAATAAAAGAAATCAATTTACGTAAATACACAAATATAGCGTTGCGTTTTTCGCATAATTTTAATCGTAATCCATTTCAGAATAATAATATGCGAATAAGTGGCGAAAGATAGAGAAATAAGATAAAGATAAATCCGCATAACTCCCCGTATGCAAAAATGTGACGAACGTTGCGTTCCTCGCGCACTGATTCTGGGTCCTTTGTGATTAGCTAGATTGGGTATGTGACCAGGAATACCTCATATCGACGGCACAGTCGATCTTCTTCTGCGGCTCCATTGTCGGCGGTTTGCTCTTCGGATGGATCGCCGACCACAGAGGCCGGATTCCCGCCTTGATCCTCTGCAACGGCATCGGGTTCCTGGCCTCGGCCGCAACTGCGAGTGCGAATACCTTCTTGTCTTTCGCCGTCTGCAGATTTTTTACCGGTCTGGCTTTCGACAACTGCATCAACATTCCGTTGATTATCGGTGAGCGATCGACAAGAGATGATCGGCCGTGCGAGGATCGTACGCGTCGCTCGCGGCACTAAATAAGAGAATCTATTCCGACGTCCGCGTCCGTTCAAAATTACATGCAAAGATACGCGCGCGGTCACATTTTTCATTTTTCTAAATTTTTCTACATGTCACATAAATCTGGACTGCGGATCTTCTCTACGGCAATAATGCGCGCACGTGTCCGTACATAGTTTTCATTACAATGAATAGTATTACGTGCAGTAGTAGGTACCCGGAAAGCTCGACGGAGATGAAAGATCATTGTATTCGATCGGTGACGCGTTTTATGAATATTTATAGGCGTGAATGTTACGGCGCACAATTCATTCTGTACGTAACTTTATTGTTAACTTTTACGTAAGCTATAAGCTATGAATTGAACGTACCACGTACTATTAATTAATCTGTTAAATAAAACTTCGGGACTTTTTTTAAATAAGTAATTTTTCATATAAGTAATAAATCAAATCCCGAATTTTAATCTCGCCAGTGCTCGAGTACATGGCTGTGAACAGGCGAACTCTCGTCGTTAACGTTGCCTTCGGCATATACTTCGCCGTTGGAAGCACAGTTCTACCATGGATCGCGTACTACGTCGCAAACTGGAAATTCTTCGCCTATGTCAGCGCGATCCCGATGGTGAGCGCTTTTATCACACCATGGATTCTTCCCGAAAGCGCTCGGTAAATAAATATTATGCGCATCTTCGATTTGTTCTACTCAATCATTCAAATCACACACACACACACACACACACACACACACACACACACA